GGAAGCAGGCTGCTTGGCAAGCAGACAAGGCGTATGAGGAAACGGATACTCCCCCACGCACGCTCTGGCCTACAGATGGGGACAATAAGCTATCGAGCGCTGTAAGAGACCCATGTTCAATTTTGCATTGGTACCATTTCGCATCAATGGCCCATAGAAGCTAGCGTTGGGGCCATATTGGGGCCATTTTGACCCACCCTGAGGCAGATAAACAGAACCTTCGCACCAACCCTACTCACCTGCAGCTTCTTCGGCACTATGCAAATACAAATTGGAGTGCTTGACGTGAGTCTCCCCATTTTACTAATTGTGTGTAACATACAGCCGTATATTCATCTTCCTGCTGGTCTTCGCCATTCCTAGCCTACACTGAGGAGCCCCCTCTGATCCGGGTTATTGCTTGCGGCGCGGGGTCAGCAGCCAGCCTTAGGTTAAGGCACTTTAGAGAAATTCTCGCTATCGCACGGAAATGTCCACAAGAAGCTCGCTATATAGGAGCATGTAATTATGGTAAGCGGCCTTGGGATATGTGGTGAGAGCGTGGAGATGTGGCCTTGGTGGATCGGCAGGCCGAACAAGCTGCACAAGAATGTGACCAGACAAAGGTTGCAGCTGGATGGCTAAAAGCATGCAATATTTACTCTCGAAAAATATTCCCTTTCTTGATTTCGTTATGGTGGTTGATACGCTTTGCTTTCTCATTTGCGTTGTTGTCGGGGCTCCATCAGCTTGAGAAGTGGCGATAAGGAGGGAACTTCCGCTGTCGTACGCGCAGTTGGTCCCGACGGACAGGTACTCAACACTTGGTCGTGGAGTTTGGAAGGAAGAAAGGAGGTGTAGGGGGTTAGGTTTACTCATTAGCTTTTGCTATGCTAGCTCTGTTAAGCCAAAAACTAATGGACAACTGCTTGATTGGCTTGTCTATCCATGTATCTTGCAAAGTGTGCATTAAATACTGCACACACAGAAGGAAAGAAAACTCGACAGTAGCCAACAACAAACGAGGGGCTAAACCGACACGGCCGTGGCAGCCTGACGGCTCGTGAACGTCGACGCGCTGAAATGTGTTAGGCTCGTGCTCCGAGACAACAGAAGGCAACGAAAACCTGTAAATAAGATCAGAGTACATATTCGCACATCAGTGCCTCCGCACCTCATCGAGGAATGCTTGCATGCAACTACAGCCAATGCACGCACAACAGTCGCCTTCAGCACCCTTTAGTAGGCGTGTGGGGGAGTGTATAGGCAACATGTCTAAAACTGTCTGCACACAATTACAGATGTAGAGGACACCTCAGGCTAATGAATAGGAACTATTCAGTGGGCGCTGACACATAAAGGCAGGCATTACAGGAAGAAACTGCAATGGATACGGACATTTGTCAAGAATCGCGAGGAGTAGCATTCATGGCCCACCATGAGCTTGTCGCGGACCCTGCCGTGGGCTAACGATACTTCCTCTAAAATGCCTTTGCCCAAGGCTGGCTAATGGCCCCGCGCCGCAGGCAATAACCCGGATCAGATGGGGCCTTCTCAATGTAGGCCAGAAATGGCGAAGACCAGCGGGTAAACGAATATACGAATATATTCTAAATCCATTCAGCATAAGGAAGTAACTTACATCAAGCAGTTTTATTTGTATGCGCATAGTGCCGAGGAAGCTGCAGGTGAGTGGGCTTGGTGCGATGGTTCTGTTTATCTGCCTCAGAGTGGTTCGCAGTTAGTTTTAGTGTGTTGGCGAATCACAAAGATCCTCGCCCGGCAGAATAGACTAGCAAGCTTTGAAATCCTAACTTGTACCACAGTCTCTGGCTTGCACAGGCTGTGTTTTCTCACGTAGATCAACCAAAGGGAGCAGCAACATCAAAAAATCTAGGAACGAAGTTTTAGAAAAAGTGATGTGAGCCGTCGAAATTTCCACCGTTACTGCCATTTGACAAAGGTGATGGCTAGGTCTCGAGTACCTCGAGCCTTGAAAGTCCTGCTTAAAGTCCCCCAGCCGGAATGCAAAATGAAAGAAGCGCCATCATTCTAATAAAGCGAATACTTGCGTGGGCTTACGTACCGCTTTGACCTGAAGCGCACGCACGCCGCAGGCGCTGTAGGTTTTCTTGAAGATTTTGACTGAATTCCAAGATGTCCGTGTAGCCAGCCTTCCAGCCGATGCACTTTCAGTCGGGCCGCTCACAGCATACCTCGGATTACACCATGGTGTACGGGTTCAATATAGAAGCAACATTATAGAATCCGAGGTATGCGGTGAGTTACCATTTGGAAGGTTCGCATGTGGCAACAGCTTGCGCCGTAGAGGCAGATGTGTCGGAAAGCCCTAGGAAGGAGCAACTCCTGGTCCCATCCAACACCGCTAATCTTGTGTATGGTGGCGAGGCAAAGTCGGAGCTTCAACAAGATAAGCCAATATCCCCATAGGTGCGGCCCGAAACAGCAAGTGGCCAGCCTGCTGGTAGCTTGCCATTAACCAGCATACTCGCGAAATCCACTTGTTTTCGCCCATTCCTGCTGTTTTTTCTCTGAAGGATTATTCGAACTTCTCGACACATTAACCGATGCAGAGCTACGTCAACTGGACGCAGAGCCGTGGTCTCATACTGCTCTATTGATCCGCATCACATCATGATGCACAAGTAAAGCACAAATATAATAGACCATGCTAGTGGGACCCAACTCTGGCTTAAAGTGGCATATGACTACAACAGCCTTGCCAGTCCTTGCATTTTTGCAGTCCGTCAACAAGCCTGAGTCTCAAGGACTGAGCTAACGAGTGAGCAGGTAGATTGTACCTGCGCACTGTCTTCTCGGATAGCAAATAGACTTAACATTTAGTAGCAAGTAATGCTAACAATTTTTGATAAATGATATGGCCTTGCATTGGCACAGCAGTAGCCCGTGGTGAGTCTTCCTCAGCGGCTGTATCGTCTGCAGTCCCCCTCACGGTGTTCTAGCGTAAGTTGACGTGTTTCTGTTTATTTAATGCGCTTTCTATACTCATCAACCAGCCTATTTCGCTGGATCCAGTTCCATTATTCAGACTTGTAGGCTTTTTGCATGGACCTCCAGTTCCTGAGTATGTGGCCCAACATGCCACATGAATTGCAGGTGCGTTGTTTGGGGGGCTGTATGAGACGGCCTAGGAGCAGGGGTTCTTTTGCCTTTCGTTTTCTCGTTTACCCTTGATTGTGGTCTAGGGCCGGTGGACACTGCCCAACATGCAGAAAGTAGATATCCCGCCCAGGTTCTTCCTTTCCCACCGAAGACGCGGCAGTTGCGCTGCTCTGCTCTTGAAAGCTCCGGCAGTTAATCTTCAGTAAAAGTCCCACTAGTCGGCTGCGGTTGTGGTCCATCTCCAACCAGCCGATGAATTCTTCGAATACTTGACCATCTTTGCGGGTGATACTTTTCTGGTAGGCATGATCTCATCGACGCATCTATGAACACTTTACTGGCCGGAAAACATACCATTCTACAAGGTATGGAGTTACTGCGTTCACAACAAGCTAAAATCTGCTTCTTTTTCCTCGATATACGTTGTGGCACCGTTAAATTCAATCGCCACAGGCTTTCCTCCAGACCTTGGTAAAAAGTAGATAGTTGAATTTACGAATAAATTGCTTCGGGACAGACAGCCGTTTAAGGGAAGCTTGGCCTTCCATCGCATCCATAGCCAGTAAATTAGCGAAGAATAGCTGCACTGAACCGCGCAGTGCTGCCAATCGCAACGGCGCCTTCGAAGTTTCTGTAGGGGAGCACTAAGTTTTAGTCACCAAACAAGCACAATAAGCAATTATTGAGTACCTCCCCAACGAAAGTTTGCCTTCTCCTACTTGCTATTCTCAATTTTCGAGACGAGGGGAGAGGCACAGGTAGGGTGTGTGAAGGTGCATCCCCTAGGCACTCTTAGCATTCACAGCTAGCTGTCCACATAGTGTCTAGCGCACACACAAAAAAATTGCTGGGTGTTTTTGTTTGGAGCTACAGGTGCGCTGCAGCAATACATGAGATTTTCCGTCAGCTGTCCACACGCTGTTTGCGAAACAGAACTGGTGGAGTGGCAGGTGTTTGAGTGTAGCTAGGCGCGTTTCCCCGGCTCTGGGGGCCTGTGGTGTAGCGAGCGCAGGGAGAAGGAAGGGGGAGAGGGGACCTCTTTGCAGGGTCGCGTGGCGCCTTCCGCTTTATTTGGGCGTGCTAAGATGATAACCAAGGATCGTTTTCTGTGCAACAACAAGCAAGCGACTGCGTGCCAGGAACTGCGCTACGGACTTTGCTACCGACATGGGAGAGGCAGCCCATGAGGAGGGGTCGCGTGCGGAAAGGTAAGCCGGGCAGAGGAGTTTTCCTGCTTGCTCCTCCAAGGGGCTTTGGAGAAGTCTGAGTCGTTCAGTCCCTCAATGGGATACATGCTGGTGTGGGAGAGATGGCAGCAGTCCGAATAGAAGGGTCGGTGGGCAACCACTGCGTGAGATGGAACCGCATGGCGCGCCTGTTAGAGGCTCGTCATTAGGCAGCAGCCGAAGGGGAAGGGTTGCCTCATTCAGCGTGTTGGTGACGAAGAGGGCTTCTGCATGCGCGGCGGAAAGGGGCTGGGCAAGTGGCGCTCGCTGGGTGTGTTCACGGCGTTGGAGGTCCCTTCTTCGACGGATATCTTTTTGTAAATGCACGTCTTTATAATTTGGCCTGAGGTTTAGAGGTTCCTCGTGTCTTGTCGGTGCTGTCGTAGGCCTTAGCTTCGGCTGTAGGGCTTCCGCCGCATGCGTGAGGTACCCTTCACGCACGCCTCCTCTTCACCTGCCAAAAGGGGCTGTTCAAGCGTTTTGGGACTTGACATTCGGTTTCTCAGCTGTATGGTCTTTCTGACACTCTGCAGAGGTTCAGCAGCCGTGGCAACAGCAGCAGGGAGATCGGCAACACAAACCGCAGCAGCAGCAGCTGCACCTTGGGCGCGCCACGGCTCCTCGAGACGTCGGGACCTTAAATCACTGAAAATGAAGTCGAGCGGAGCTTCCGCTGGCTCGACCGTAAGTGTTCACCTATCCCTTTGTACGTCTTGCAGCGGATTCGCGTCAGCACCAGTTCGCAGGGGGGGGATGGGAGGACAGTACTGCAACGCGCAGCACCATCTTTCTCTGCTTCTACGGTTTCCCAGCTTGGAATTAGGGTGTTTGCTTTTGCGCGAGCTCCGGCCGCTCGTGGTGGGGGGTGGAAGGCAGAGCAGGGGCTGTTTGAAGGGATAGCGCAGGCAGAGGGGGAAAACGGAGAGGGGAAAAACGAAGAGGGGAAAAAAGCGAAGAGGGAAGGGCTTGTGGACGGAGTTCGAAGCCGCTGGGTAGAGACGTGTGCTTTGTCTTCGTCTTCGTACACGATTTGATCCAGTGGGGTTGTTGTATCGCTCTTTACGGTCTGTTTTTTCCGGTGTTGGTGTTGTTGCTTGGTTCCTTTTTGCCTGTGCATTTCCTCTCTCCTTCCCCTTCCCCCGTGCACCACCTTTCACTGCCCCAGCTCCTCACACGTCGGACGAGTCGTGCGTGTGCGTCTCCACTCTGCACGCACGCAATGTTCCCATGTGTCTGCAGCCGAATATAGCGCGCTACTACGCAGACGCAAACGCCAATCGACCGCGCGAGTACTGGGACTATGAGAATTTCGTTGTGCGGTGGGGAGCGCCCGACGGCTACGAGGTGATCCGCAAGCTTGGCAGAGGGAAGTACAGCGAAGTGTTCGAGGGTATTTGCGTTGCGAGACCACAAGCCTCCGCAGCAGAAGAGCTGGCAGCTGCAGCGGCAGCAGGGGCGTCTTCGGCAGCCGTGGGAACTGTTGGCGGAGAGGAGCAGCAAAATTCGAATGCCAGGGAGAGCCTGGCCGTTGTTGGACAGCGCTGCGTCATCAAAATCCTCAAGCCGGTGAAGAAAAAAAAGATTCGGAGGGAAGTGAAGATCCTCCAAAATCTCTACGGCGGACCAAACATCATCAAGCTGCTCGATGTTGTGAAGGATCCCCTTAGCCGGACTCCTGCACTGGTAATACGTTCCCTCTGGTCACACGCACAAGCGCTCAAATGCACACATGCACTTACCCAGACACACGAACTAATACATGTCCATATATGCATGCATGCATATATGGATATGCACTTCTAGATACAACTAAGGGCCATGGAAGGCTCTGGAAATATAGCTATGTGGCCTGTCTCGATTTGGGGGCACTTTCGGGAGAAGCGCAGGATGAGGTAAAATTTCTGGGTTCCTTCTTTGCAAGGAAACGGCTGTCGTTCAGAGGCGGAAGCGGCGGACGTGGTGGGAGGGAAGGAGGGAAGGAGGGAGGAAAGGAGGGAAGGAGGGAGGGAGGGAGGGATGTTGGCGATTATGGCAAATTGTAGGCTAAAAGACATGAGGCACTGCTAAAGAGCCTTGAGGGGTGTAGAGGCGTCTGCAGGGTCCAAGGGCATAGGGTGGTATTTTTGTGTGTGCAGATCTTTGAGTACGTGAATAACATTGACTTTAAGACCCTCTATCCAACGCTGAAGGACTATGAAATTCGCTATTACATCTACCAGATCCTGAAGGTGAGTCGGCGGCCTGTAGGAGAAGAGTTTGAGGATCTGCATTAGCAGCGTGACGGGCTGTGTCTTGGCACGAGTCTCTTTAGCGGAGCGGCCCTTGTTAGCACAGCGGAGCTGGCAAAGGCATTAAGGGGGCAGGAAGGACGTACTGGAGAAATTTAAGGATTTTGGTGTATATATGTATGTATATATATATATGTGACTTTTTTTCATAGGCCCTGGATTACTGTCACAGCCAAGGGATCATGCACCGCGATGTGAAGCCACACAACGTTATGATTGATCATGAGAAGCGGTAAATATGCGCAAATGCCGTGTGGTGTGGGGTGTGTGTGGGTAGATGAGCCATTGTTCAAGCGAGCAACCGCTTGAATAATTGCTCATCACTGTCTTCTCTACCCCTCCTGCCCATCCCTCCCCCAGCCGGCGGTTCCCTCTCTTCCCCGTCCCCTCGAGGAGCAAGGTTTACTTCTACAGCGCGAAAGCAGTGCCCCCATCATTTGTTGAGTGCGTGGTGGCTGTGTCTCTGAAGGGAGCTGCGCCTCATAGACTGGGGTCTTGCGGAGTTTTATCATCCTGGTCACGAATACAATGTACGGGTAAGTGCGGATGCAGAATTGCATGCGCATGTGCACTGTAGCGGTGCGCCTCCTATCCTAGCGGGGGGCGGGGGAAGCTGGGAAGGAGGTGAGCAGGAGGGGGAAGGGGGGCGGTGACAGAGGGGAAGTTAGGGGAAACGGTCATGTTCATGGGGTCGCAGAGTAGCCGAGTGGCATGTCGAGCAGCTCGCGTCTGAGAGAAGACTGTTTCACGGCACATTCCACGCCAAACGGACTTGCACAAACGCTCACGTTTCGAGGAGGGGGAAATGCGTTTTTGCAGGTTGCGAGTCGATACTACAAGGGGCCCGAGCTGCTTGTTGACCTCCAGGTTTACGATTACTCTCTCGACATATGGAGCCTTGGATGCATGCTTGCAGGCATTGTAAGCTGGAAACTGTTGGGGTGTTTGTTGCAGAAGGCGGGGGGATGCTCGTTTCTACAAGCCTCCCGCCTTCCAATTCTGCGTCGCGTTTCGGGGAAGGGCGAATTTCGCGAAGGCCCTGAACGCTCCAGTGTGTTGTGTGAGCGGTTTCTGCTCGACAGATTTTCAAGAAGGAGCCTTTCTTCTATGGGCATGACAACTATGACCAGCTCGTCAAAATCGCGAAGGTTCTGGGTGCGTCTTTTTTAGTTAGCAGCGCTTTTCGTAGCGTGCTTCTCTTTTTTTGGCGTAGAGGCTTTCCCTCTCCTGGTAGACCCTTTCTGCACGCTTGTATGTGTGTGCCTGCGTATCTGTGTGGGCATCGGTGTGCGTGTGTATCAGGGACGGACGGGCTCTACGCCTACCTGGAGAAGTACGATTTGGAGCTGGAGAAGAATTTCGCGCAGTTGGTGGGGAAGCATACAAAGAAGCACTGGGGCCGCTTCATTACGCCTGAGAATCAGCACCTTGCAACTCCCGAGGCAGTGGATTTGATTGATCAGATGTTGGTGTATGACCACCAAATGCGGATCCTCCCGAGGGACGCCATGCTGCATCCCTACTTCAGACCTGTTGTTGTAAGCGCGAGCGTTTTTAGCATGCATGCATGCATGCCTCTCCCTCCTTTCCTTGAGAGAGACTCCCTTTCCCCCGCGCCTTCGTAGACGAGAGGCCCTTGGAAGATGCAGTGCCATAATAGGGGTGGCAAAGGCAGCATTATGAGCGCTTGGCGCAACATTCCCTCTTCTTCACTGTGCCACACAACGCATCCGACAGGTCCTTAAGAGCGTCCACAAAGCTTCCCAAGGGTGGTATGGGGTGGCCAACACGAACGGGGGGGGGGTCAGAGATTACTCTTTGTTGTGAAGCCTTTGCTGCTGCGCAGGAGGAAGAGCAACGCAACGCGGCGGCAGCAGCAATAGAGGCTCCTCGGCTGTAAATTCGGAGGGCCTGCGAGGGAGGGGCGCTGGCAGGCCGGTGGGAGTAATACCTAACAGCGGGGTGTGCTTTCTCTCGCTCTCCTCCACTTCCACGAGTTTGACTTGAATGGCTCACGCGGTGTATGCGTTGGTCTCTGGAGATGCGAACTGCGCAGGTGTCTTTGCACGGCGGCAGAGGGAAGAAGCGAAGGGGAACAGAGGGGCAACACTGGATGAAGGGGGGGAGGGGAAAGGGGCCAAGTACTTCTGGCGTACGACACCGTCCGTTATCTTCTCTATGGGTTCGATGAACCTCTAGATCCTGTATACATGCAGTATACACAAATGGCGGTATATACATATATATATATATATCGCACGAGGTCTGGAATTCAGTGCCTGTCAATATTTCGAGGTCCAAACACATGCGAATAGACGTTTACAGAATACATCTGATGAGGCACCTTCACCCTTCGTATATCTCTGAGTATATTTAAATATCCTCATAGGTCTTTTTGGCCTTCTCACGGCTTCTCGACAAGCACTTGCGCGCGTCATCTGTTGAGAGTGCGTTCGGAACGGCAGCACCAGTGCAGGCACAGGTATAGAAACGGCCGGCGCCTCGAATGTTTGAGCGGCAGGTGTTGCTGCTGAACAAACTGCAAAAAGGCCCTAAGAACCTGGGAGACGCGAGGGGAGCTTTGACAGACGCCGTGTGTCTCTCTAAACGCGAACATGCGCTGCAACGCCTTGCTAGCACAGCGTGCTTGTAGCGAGGTCGCACACAGGGGCGTCGGGGCTTCTTTGCAGCCAAGCGCACGCATGCAGGGGTGCAGCCTGTGGTGGCGTGTCGATAGGAAGAGAGAGCGCAGTATGCGTCTGTTGACGGGCGTAGGTGGCGATATATTTCGGTTGCTTGGCAGTCAGCACGCGCGTGCTGCATCGCAGGGGAGCGTATTTGTGGTTAGGGGGATTTTTTCTGGCTGCCGCTGGTCCTAGCGCTTTAAGAAATACGGGGGAACTGCCTATAAAGGCGCCTTCGCGCACTAATGAAGCCAATAGAGCAGTCCAAGTGGCGGCCGCCTGTACGGGCGAGGGGTAGTGCCTTCTCTGCACTAAAAAATGATACTGGGCAGTTTAATTGATGAGAGCCTACGAGTAGCTACAGCAACTTGCGTTTTTTGGGAGTTGTGGCCAGCGCTTGCGCTTGAGGTTGTAAGAGTGTGCTCTATACGGCTGCACACACGCCGAGTGGGGCGTCGCCCTCTTGACTTGAGTCTTAGCCTTGCGGGATTTGAGCCTTTTGCTTAGAAACTCGTATGCCGCATGCATCTGTATATATACATATACAAATGTGGCGCTGAGGGCACGTAGACTACGGCCGAGCACCCTGCCAAGTGGACGGTGGAGGGAGCGACGGCGGACTCCCTGAGAAGCTTCAAGCCCTTGAAACACATCCAAAAGTGCTGCAAGAGAAGGGCTGGGTTCGAAAGTTCCTCAGACAAAAAACAAATAGCCGGGAGGAGTCCATCGGCGCGCGGAGGCAGCATCGTCGGCGTCTGCCAGCACGCACTCGAAGTGCATGCGCCCGACCGAGCGGTCGAGATAGGTCGGTGGCTGAAAGAAGGGTTTTCTCAAGTCAAAATATACTCACTGCGACAGAGGGAGGCGGTGTGTGGTTTGTTTTTTGTTGAGCACTGAGCTGCTAGTCCGTTTGCGCTGGCCGCCGCGGAGGCAACGCCGCCAAGCCGCCTCGCTCACTGCACATATATATATATCTACCCTAACTGCAATTCTGGGTATAGGGGTGAATAGTAAAGAAGCCTAAGGGCGAGGAGCGATGGAGAGCCTCTCTGGGGAGGCCGCGGAATCCCCTGCACATGCGGCTGCTACAGCCCCCTCCCGTCAGTCCGACCCCATAACTGAGCGAACGGCTACATCAGCAGCCGCCGCTCGCTCTGTCTATACCCCTCACCTTTCTGCTGGTGGGGGCACCTCGCTAGTCCAGCCTCCACCGCTGGCTGCAGCGCCTGCAGCGGCCTCTGCGCGTCTGCCTGCAGGAGCTGCAGCTGTGGAAAACACCTCCGATCCTCCAGTTGCATGCGCCTCCGCTGCAATGCATCCTGGCGTGGCTCAACAGCCTCCAGCAGCTTCGCCTCAAGGCCTCCTGGCGCCGTCTCCGTCGCCCTTCCCTCTCAGCTCTCTTCCACTCCACGATCTCCACGATCCCTTGCACCCCCCAACGGTACCCCCTTGCTCCTCCGCATTTACCCTGCAGCCTTCGCTCTCTCGCCAGCTGCGGTAGAGGCCTCTGCCTGCGCTGCCACTCTGCTTCCTCTGCTGCAGCCGCTGAAGAAGCACACAGAAGCTGCGCTAGCGCGCACGCACGCTGCCGCAGACTTCCGAGTTTTCTTTTCTGCGAATTTCGATGCAGCCTCCACCCCCTCCTTGTGGGCTTCCGCGACCTCCGTCCAGCTTCGCAACAAGAGTGGTGGCGGCACCTGTAGCAGCAGCAGAAGAGGAAATTGCAGCCTTGATTAGCGCGCGAGACACCCGAACGGCCGCAAATCTACTCCTTGAAAAACTCAAGGCACGTAGGCGAGGGGCTTTCGACTTCCTGATGCGTTCGCTGTCGAAGCTGCAACCTCCATGGCCGCCTCTGCGCTGTCAAACTGCTGTTGCAATTTCGCGTATTGCCAGTTCGCTTTGCATTTCCTGCACGTACGGGGATGCAATTTTGTGCTTGCAGCAACCGCCTGCGAAAGCTCTAGCGCCCGATGTCTATCTGCGATGGATGGCTATTCGCTACTTCTGCCTTCTGCGACTCCGCGTAAATCTCCTCCTTTCCTCATGCGAGGGCGCACTCCACCTCCCAACTTGAAAATACTCAAGCGTGTTTTTCCCTTGAGTAGGATGTCTGTGCTTGTCGCTTCTGTATATATAGATACATATTTCTTCCTAGATATATATCCCAATATCTTTCTAGATATTTGTATATATCTTTCTAGATATGTATATATATCTGTCTAGACATGTATACATATATCTTTCCAGATATATATGTATCTTTCTAGATATATCTAAATCTGCATTATATATCTATATGTATTTATGGCATGTATAAGGATAATGCATGCGCCAAACTTCTTGGACGTGTTATACACCTGGGTGCCAGGGAAGGGGGACGAGCGGGGTGCCGATGTCTGCGGCCTACCTACAAACTAAAATAATAAGATATGCGAGTATCTTTTTTAGGAAAAGTTTGTGAGCTGGTGCGAAGCTTCCTATGCGCATTTTGGCGTTCCTCTTACTCCTCCCTCACTGGGCTTTGCTCTGAAGCTGTGTGTGCCCCTGCATCCGGTGTTGTTGCAGCCACTTTCCGCTTGTTTGTGTGGCTTAGGATTATGCAGTAGCTGCTGAGGAGGTCGCCTCCCTGGGGGACTTATGCGCGCCTTACTGGCAATACGAGTCGCACCCTCATCTTTACCCCGGACGAAGGCAGGGCAGCTCTCACGGAGCTTAGGGAACCTTGCCTGCAGCAGGGTGGTGTCTGCCCTTCAGTTAGACTTTTAGCAATCGACAGGCGGCAGTTGTGCTCTCCAGCTCATCCGTGGCTTGTGGCGGGTGTGTGTGTGTGTGTTCAGGGGCAGCTTGGTGCCGTTTAGTTTGAGGCTTTTGTTCGCGTTTGGGCCTCACCTTTGGGGATCCTCCGTTGACTCTATTTCGGCGCTTGCATTGCTGCTGCAGCACTGCAAGCAGCAACTGAAGGAAGCGGCGGCGGGGGGGGCAGACGCTGCAGGGATTGCTTCAACTGCAGCAGAGGCAGCTGCAGGTAGTGGTGATCGTCCAACGGATTTGCAGCGGCTGTGGAAGGCCAGACTCCTCAGGACTGGATGCCTCCTCGCCCTCGTTCTCAGCGCTGCCAACTACCCTGAGGTCCTGCTGCTGCTGAGAGAAGTTTTGCTGCAGACGCGGCGTGCTCTGTGTGTGCGCTTCCTATTTCTGCTGATCGCATCATGCGCGGTTTGTCGAAATATTTCTTTGCAGGAGGCGTTGCGGGTGCTGAAGCAGGTCCTCGCACTGGACGCGAAGTCAGCCCCTGCCCTCTCTCTGATGGGCCGGATCGCTCTGAAGGTAGTGTTTTCTAAAGAGGCTCGCTTTTCAGCAGCTAGCCTTTTTTGTAGTTCCTAGCGGTTTCCGTAGGCGTGAAGTGGGGTGGCTATCGCGGGTGGCCTATTGTTACGGTGCGTGCGCTGTGCAGATGGGGTGCACGGACTGTGCGGAGCAGTACTTTTCGTACGCCGACTGCGTGGGGACCCCCGACACCGCCCTTAGCAGCACCAACCAGTGAGGCTTTAAGACTTTGGCCTTTATAGACAGGTGCCGCGCCCTTGTGGTGCAGGAGTCTGGGCTCGAACAATTCGTTTTTCTGGTGTGCGCGGCTTCTGCTCCGCAGCGGTCTGCTCCTCCTATTCAATCGGCGCATTGCGCCGGCCGTAGACGCGTTCGAGGCCGCTGTGCATGCATGCGGATCGTCAAGCCTTGTGTCCCCCTTGTCCGTGGCAGCAATGCCGATGAATGGCTGCGAGGGGCCTCTGGGAAGTCCTACGCCTTCCGCCGCCGAGGGGCGTGATCCTTGGAAGACGGCGTGCGACATGTTCTGCCCGCCTGCGCATGCAGTGTGTTGCAATAACGCGGCAGTCGCCAGATTTTACAGCAAGCGCCTCGCAGATGCGACTGCAGCTCTTGAAGGACTCGTTCACGGAAATCCAGTGAGCAGCGACTCCCCAGCAGGGAAATGGGCAGAAATTTCAGGGCTCGCTGGTCCTTTTGGGGGCCCCTGCCCAGCGCTTCGCCTGCTGTCAGTACACCCGGCAGCAGTGCACAAAGAAGTTCCACATCCCCGTAGCATCGAACGCTGCGTCCTGTGTGCTGCAGGATGGCGTGTTTCCGTCGAGCGTCCGCAACTTGATAACGCTGTACGAGTTCGCAGCCAACAGAGAGTCCTGCCTCGCACTGCTGCAGGACCTCCTGCAAACGGCAGCCCGGGGAGACCCCCAGATACAGCAGCTCTTAACGGGCAACTAGCTTGCGCCACAGCAGAAGCAGCAGCAGCGACTGTTTTTCGAGATCCTCTAATAAAGCCTGGCTAGACGTATCCAATGTGTCCAGATGCACCACTGCATGCAATGCGTCTCTATCTGCGTGTCGAAGTCAGCTCTAACAAACTATTCTACGGGCGGCGCGCGTTCGGGAGAGGGGGGGAGGAGGCGTCTTTGCAGCGTGTTACACTGCGGAACGGAGGTCTCAGAAGTGAAAGATTTTTTGGGGGGGAGGAGGAGGCGCCTTGGTGGCACTGACTAGGCTTCTACGGCGCGCAGCCGACCATCCTGGAAACGGGGAAGGACCGTGATAGGCGTAAGCTTGTAGCCGTAACTCAAGAAGCAGGAACGTACCTCTCCCAAGGGGCCTCCAGCGGCTTTGGGGGGCCCTTGTGCTGCGGGTGGCGCAGCAGGGCCCCCCTTTTTTGTAGGCGGCGCAAGCGGGGTCCAGGGGGCATGGCCTGTGCGAGTGCGGAAGGTGGGAAGTGCCTGGCTGTATCCGCAGGTGTCGGCTTACAGAGCTCGGCCCATCTGCATCAAGCGACATGTGCAGATGCGTGGCAGCCCCCTAGGGTGCGCAAGCTTTAGTGACGTACTGAAGTTTTGCCTCGTCATTCATTCCGGAGAAATTCATGAAGGGGCTGCAGGGGCCTCGATACGTCTGAGGAAGCCGAATGAGGCAGCAGGAGCGGTATGGGAGGGCGTGAGTGTTGGCAGCGTTACACAAGTGCGCGGCATGCAGCCGCACTGCCGTGCCGGAGTTGGCAGAGACACACATGTCTGCCGACTTTGAGAGCCGTGTGTGAGGAGCCCGCAGCACCCGTCACACACACCGTAAAGCGCAAGAAATAGAGGGACGAGCGGGGAGATAGACGCAGAGGCCAGACACAAACAGGCGCACACGGCCGAAAAAGCCGGCATAAAAGTCAAGAAACACAGAGCGCAACGCGACCTCAGGCAGACTACTGCCTTACCAAGGGAGCAGAGCAGACGCCGCGCTTGATGTAAGCCCATCCCTGCGGACAGTTAACTCGCATATCCCTTCGCGGCGCTGAAGCGACAGCAAGCATAAGTAAACGACGCTCTCCATGAAAGAAGACCCCGGCACGTTGCAGGGGCGAGCACTTTCAAAGCAGCCGGCAGACAACAGTGTGAACAGCACCCGACGCTATGTAGCAGCTTTTCCTCATAGCCCAACCCGACCCCTCTCAGCCCCAGCACTAGAACCAGCGACATCGCAACTAATGTGTACTGAGGGATACCTGGCTTGCAAGGCCACTGCGCCTGACAGCGCCACGCGAAGTCCTCCTTCTGCAAGGGCGACGACTCTCGTAGATCCACCGAGCGGCACCTGAGCGAACAGCCCAAATACAGCACAAGCATAGATGGATGCATACATAGATGTACAGGCTACAGCAAGAGAAGCGTATGCTAAGGAAAGGCAGCCAGCCAGCCACGGCTATGCAATAAGGGGCCCGCACAGGGAAGTTGCAAGGGGCCAGTTTCAGCGGGACGAAAATGACTTACGGCCCTTCGTATGCTTCCGGGGGTACGCAAAGGCCTGAGCGCAGGCGTTTAGGCTTTGTTTCGCGTTTAGCGAGCAACACGAGACTACGCATTACCTAAAAACGGAGGGGCTCGGAAAATGTGAGACCGCCAAGATCTGTGCAGCTGAACCCACCGCTGTTTGCGTCGGTTTCATTCCAGTCCATTGGACATGTTGCCGTGTAGTCCCTTCTGTGTTTTTTGCGCTTTGGAGTTTGAGCAGTTTGCAAAGGGGGCTGGACGTACGGACCTGCACTGCCCGATGTACCTGGAATCAGAGGGTTCAAAAAAAATTCAGAGCAGGGTTTGTGGTTTGCTTTACCAGTACTTCTTCAGCCTTTCTTCCGCAAGCACCAGTAATGCTGAATTCAAGATGAAATATGCAACGCAAGACGAGATTTCATGCGCCCAAGCAGGAGGCAGATGATGGAAACTCTGGAGGGCCACAGCAGAAAGAGTCTGGCAGCCCCTTTTTACTTACCGTTATTGATGCGATCGTCACCAGACGCCTCCTTCAGCATTGATGAAATCTTCCCTTCAGCCTACGTGCAGTTGCCTTGAGCGCGTCGCAGCGCGCCTGCATGTCGTGCGCTTACATCCTGTACTGCTCTGCCTAAGACAGTATCAAAATTCTCGGGAAGCGCCTCCTAAAACCCCGGATACAAGTACCAAGGTACATTGTATGACCGCCATCCACAATGTGGGGTTTACGTTTCGCTCCCATACCTCCAGTTCATGACCCGATTTGTTCGGTGTTTTCAAAAACATGGAGAGAAGAGACATAAGAACCTAAATGGAAAGTGCCTCTGCTCCTCTCGACTTTTTTGCAGTATGATGCAAGTACCTGTAAGAGGCTGACAACGACCGCTCATATCATACTTTTTACTCGCGCATGCATATGTCTGATTATATTCTCACCCGCCCACGGGGTTTTGCTTTGCATCGCTCTGGGAGAACCTGTGAACAAGGGCATTCCATTTGGTCCTGGGTCTTTCTGCCACAAATGGCGCTCGGATGTCACTTTCTGCCGAATGCACAGGAATGGCAGCTAAGAAGAGGCAAAGAAGGACGAAAAATTGCATGATTAGGCAAAAAAGAGCACTCATAGAGCCCAGGTATGACAGGTTTCTGCTTATAACAGCTATTACTTTTTTCCATAGTGCATGGCTTCCGCCATGATGTGCGATACACGCTGTATGGACAGCACTCCGTCCACTCCGCGTGGTATCGTCAGGGAACCAGGCTAGAATCGTGCTCCTTTAGTCTATTTAAGACCTATAGTCAAGCTATGTATCCTTGTTGCTATTTTTAAAGGCAAAATTTTCTCGGGGAGAGACCGAAACACACCTCGCAGCAATGCGTCGTGTTGAAGGTGTAGTCCGGGATTGCGCATTGCCGTGTATTGCCCAAACTGTTATCACAGAAAAGAGCAGTTTTACTATAGCACCGTGTACAGATTACTAATTGGTTTTGCTAAAGTACTGAGAAAATAAGCGGGCATGTGCCCGTAGTCAGGAAGCCTGGGAGGGAGAGGGGCCCTGGGCCGACGCACTGAAACACAACAGGAATCCACGTTTCGGGAGGAGTTGAACGAGAATACAATGGCCTTGGAGCCAGAAAAGACAGGCGAAAATATTTAATTCTATCGTCAAAGGCAAAATTCATAGAGCCCGTATTTCGCTTTCGAGACCCACGTGGGCGAGTGTTGGGTATTCTCATCAGTACGGCAGAGGTAGGCGGGGCTGAGGACGGGTGCTCCAGGGCCTCTGGCGCTGGGGTTTAGGGTTTAGGGTACTCTACTTTTGAAAACACGTTCAATAGTGAAGCGCTAATTTGCGAAGGCAGAAACAACAACAGAAGGTCTAGGGTTGCCTAGGATTTGTAGGGCTACGCTTCGCTCCCCTCCGCCGCCAAGAAGAGAGCCAGGCGGCAGCTTCTTTTACCTTTATATTCCTGGGCCTCGAGTGTATCTCCAGCAAGTGAGTGGCATGCATGAATCTGCATGGCGCCCAGCGCTTGCGCGTGCTGTCCTACGGTAGAGACGGCCGCTCAGCACGCCCCTTCAGTGATTGTCGCTCGCGGCGTCTAAACTCCACACCTTAGATCTATCCAGCAAGTTTTGCAGCCTAACCGCCCGCTGTAGAGGGCCTTTGAGGCTCTCCTTCCTGCGAACCGCCTCCTGGGGTTCCCTAGTAGGAGTGGTGCTTGCCGTGGCAGCCAGCGCAGTCGCATGAGTCACTTCCTCTGCACCCCTACGGCGTGCGCCAAAGCTGTAACCCCTCTCCGCTACCTACAGCTGCACGTTAGCCGCCTCGCATGCACGTGCTTAGCGTGCAGCGTTTGTTGCAACTTTTGCACGCTGCATTTCCCGGTTTGCATATATACATATATATGCGCTGCATGCAGCCAAGGAAAATGGCGGAGGGCGCGAGAGGCGACGGGGCACTGCCGCAGATCGACACGGATCTCTACAGCAGGCAAATTGGAGCCTTCGGGATGGAAGCTATGGGGAAGCTCATGCAATTGCGTGTACTGATTACTGGACTCAATGGACAGGGCGTTGAATGCGGTAGGCGACTGCCCCAGCACCTCGCTGCATGGATCCTGGCATGCCGAGAAGTGCAACTCGCTATGACGACCGCATAACTCGTTGTTTCTCACGATAAGCAAAATTGATAAATATATATAGGCGCCCCCCTCTCCCCGTTGGTGCCTCAGAAGTGCCCCCTCCCTTGGGGGCCTGCTTCTCTGACTCTCTGCATCCTTCCTTGCTTTCCTTCTTCCCATATGCGCTATTGTTCGTACTTTGTTTGCATGTACACTAAAAAGGGTCCATGCCATGGCTTCGAGGGGATGCACAACTGCCCCCTCCTCCGCCATGCGTCTCTGCTACCGTCCCTCCCCTTTTTAGAGCCCTCCCTCTCCTCGCAGCTCCGTGCACTGCCCGCTTGTTTTGGGGCTGCATGCGTGTGGCGGCGCCTTCTTCCGGCCGTTGCCGACTGGCTGCACTCCCCATTGCCCCTCGTCGCGACACCCTCCTTCCTGTCTCCACTCGCTCACAATCTGCCTTGAGCAGCCCGTTTCATCCTACGTCTCTCTAGAACTGGAGCGAGGGGACCTCTGCCTGCCGGCTAGCTAAGCCGAAGTGGCCAGCGCGGTCATGAGTGCGAGCAGCCTTGTATCCCTCATTGCTCCGCCTTCTGCATGCGCACACCCCACCGCATGCACCGAGCTTGATATGCGGCTGCTGGCTCGCGATGCATGGGCCTCCCCTGGCCTCTGGGCAGCTAGTTAGCTCGCCAGCGGGGTAGCTCACTAACTAGCCGTGTTGCAGCTGCCACCTGTGTGGGTGTCTTGGCTGCAGCAAAAAACATTATTCTGGCAGGACCCCGTGCCGTGGGGCTTCACGATCCACGGCCTTGCAGAGGCAGAGATCTAGGTGCGTATATCTGTCGTTTAGAAGCTTCGGTTCGGCAGAGGGGTAGTGTAAAAGTCTCCCTCTTTTGTGTGAACGCCCTCTTTCTTGAAGGCCTTTGATATTGGGTGTCTTTTGTGGGTGGGGACTCTGCTGACGGCGACCTGTCTCTCCCCCGTGCATCCTCCTTTGCGGCTTCTCTTGGGTGCATGCCTCGCAGGGAGCGTTTTCTCTCTGGGAACCTCTGCAGTGGCTGCCGGGCAAACGCGGGCTGCAGCAAGCCTCGCGTACCTTACTGCCCTCAATCAATACGTCCACGTGCAAGAAGAAAGAGAGCAGGAACTAACCGAGGTGCCTTGCCGATCCTTTGGCCCCTTAAGGCCTTGCCCCCGGCTATAGGCCACGGCCTTTTCTGCCTGCCAACACATGCTAGCAGAGGCTTAAGACTTCTTGAAAAAAAAGCCTCTGCGCTGCCCCCTTGGGGCTTTCTCACTAAATCCCGGTTGCCTCTTTTTTGGGGAACCACTGCCTCCCTCCGCCGTATCAGACAGGGCAACTCCCTGCTATCTCGGAGAGACGCCTGCCTGCAGCAGGAAGGGTCTGCACTGCTGGCTCCTGCCTTGCGAGCGCAGAATTTTTTTCTCTGCAAGTGCGTGTCTCTGTCTGTCTCTGCGCGCACTTGTATTTCTGTGTGTATGTGTGTGTATATGTGTGTGTATGTGTGTGTCTGTCTGTATGCTCGCTTTGCAGGCGACTTTGCGTCGGTACGATGCGCTGGTGGTTTGCGAGGGCACGGGAGCCTCTATTCAGCGCCTGAACGCACTTTGCCGCGCGTTGTCGCCGCCTTTGGGGTTTGTTTGCGGGCTCTCTGCGGGTCTGTCGCTGCTCGTCTTTACGGACTTTGGTCCGAGCTTCAGAGTGCTAGACACGAATGGGGAGGAGCCGAAGGAGGCGCTCGTGGCGACGATTACGCAAGAGGAAAACGCCGCCGTCCATCTGCACACGGAAAAGCCTCTGCCCTTCGAAGACGGTGATTTGGTGGCCTTTAGGGAAGTTGAGGGCATGACGGAGATCAACGCGGCCCCCCCTCAGAAAATCAAGCTTCACGGGCGTCATGCCTTCCTGATAGGCGACACGCGGGGATATGGAGCGTACTCGGGTGGGGGCATCGTGAAGCAGGTTAAGGCTCCCAAAGACATAGCTTTCCGGAGCTGGGAAGAGTGCGTCCTGCATCCAGTAGCGCAGGGAGAAAGCATGATGGTCGTTGCGGACTTGGGCAAATTCGGGAGGCCCCCCCAACTGCACTTTGCGTTCATGGCACTCCTTTCCCTGCTCGACGAGCGGCAAGGCCAGTCAGTCCCTCATCCCGTCCTGTATTCTGAGACGGCAGCGGCGCGCGATCCTGCTGCTGCTGCGGCTGCGAAGGCGGAGGCGGATGGCTGCGTCTCACGCGCGTCGAAAATTGCACAGCAGCTTCTCGCGCAGTGCAAGGAGAGGGAGGGGCGGGAAGACGGCGTGGTCTCGGTGGACGCCTTGGATCAGACTGTCTTGGACCATGTTGTGCGCTTCTCTCCGTGTTGCCTCTCGCCCATCGCTTCCTTCATTGGCGGCGTCATTGCTCAAGAAGTCGTCAAGCTCACCGGAAAGTACATGCCTCTGAAGGGCTTTCTGTACGTGGACGCGCTCGAGTGCCTTTTGACACCCGAGTTCAAGGCCCTCTTGCAGCAGCAGCAGCAGCAACAACAACAGCGGCTGCTGCGCAGCATGCAAGACGAGGCAGCAGGCTACGCGTCTCTCCTAGACTGGCCGTCTGCCGACCAAGTCGGCCTCTGGGGGGAGACCTTCCAGGCTGTGCTGTCAGCAGCAAAAGTCTTCATCGTCGGCGCTGGAGCCTTGGGATGCGAGCTGCTCAAGGGCATGGCACTGATGGGGGTTGCCTGTGGCGAAGGGGGTGCCTTGACGATCACTGACATGGATCGAATCGAAGTCTCAAACCTCAACAGGCAGTTTCTCTTCAGGCGAGAACACGTAGGACAGAGTAAGAGCACCACTGCCGCTGCTGCAGCGCTTGCTATGAATCCGAAGCTCAAGGTAAGCCCCCTCCTCACGGCCTACAGCTCCGTGGATTGCGCCCTCTTGTGGGGTGTCGGCGTATTTGTCGCTGCCGGTTGATGTCTGCAACAGGCAGGCAGACAGACACAGACAAACAGACGGACAGAGATAGGCAGACAGACGGACAGAGATAGATAGACGGACAGAGATAGACAGACAGACAGAGACAGACAGACAGACAGGGATAGACAGACGAAGACAGACAGGGATACACAGAGATAGACAGACGAGGACAGACAGGAATAGACAGACGAAGACAGACAGGGATAGACAGAGACAGACAGACACAGACAGACATAGACAGACGAAGACAGACAGGGATAGACAGAGACAGACACACAGAGATAGACAGAGACAGACAGACAGACAGAGGAGATAGACAGAGATAGACAGACAGAGATAGACAGAGACAGACAGACAGACAGAGATAGACAGAGACAGACAGACAGAGATAGACAGACGAAGACAGACAGGGATAGACAGAGACAGTCAGACAGACAGAGGCAGACAGACAGACAGAGGCAGACAGCCAGAGGCAGACAGACAGACAGACAGACAGAGACAGACAGACAGAGATAGACAGAGACAGTCAGCTAGACAGACAGACAGACAGAGACAGTCAGCTAGACAGACAGCCTTCTTCGGCCTCGTCCTCCGCAATGGATCACCGCTGCCCTCCTTCTGGGTGGTGCCTTTTTTTTCGTGCTCGAGGCTAACTGCCAGTCCCCGTTGCCACTGGCCCTCTTTTCTCATGGAAGGCGCCCAACACAACGCAATAGAAGCGTCGGAAGCTCTTGCGTCTGCGCTTTCTTCCGGTGTCTGCGCAGGTTGAAGCCCTCGAAGCCCGCGTCGGTCCAGAGACTGAAGGCGTTACTTTCACGGAATCCTTCTGGATGCGGCAAGACCTCATGATTAATGCCCTCGACAACATTCAGGTGTGTTCGTGTACGAGTGTCTGAACACACCTGCCTGCACACGTGTGGGGGTGGAGTGGGCGGTTGGAATGACTTTGAGGGCTTCTTCGCCTGCAGCCGGGGAGCCGTCCTCTTCCGACGCTGAATGGTGCCAGTCCTTCTGCGTTGCACAGAGGAGGGGAGGCTGCACGTCGCTGCTCTGCGCTGACAGCGTGCGAATGGTATGCGTAGGCACGGCAGTACGTCGACAGCCGCTGCGTGGTCTTCACCAAACCCCTCTTGGAAAGCGGCACGCTGGGAACGAAGGCGAACGTCCAGGTAGGCAGCTTTTGGCAGGAAGGTGGCTGGCCCCTCCATGCTCTTGTCACCGCTGTCACGTCTGTATGTTCTTCCTCGACGCCGTTTGCGTCATGAACTCCCCTCTACGTTGAGTCGCCCTTCGGCGGCAGTCCGTATGCCTCCTACAACCAACGCGCCTTCCGAAAGGTGTCGTTCCAGGGAGGCTCACCGCATTTAGCCCCTTCGTCGAAACTCTGCCTGCCTCTAAGGGCATCCCGTTTGTGTAGATATACATACATACATATATATATGTGTGTATGTGTGTGTTTGCATGTGTCTATACGTGTTCGTGTATATGTGCATATTCATATATATATATATATATATATACATATGTGTATCTATGAATATATATATATATATATATGTGAAGTTGTATGTGTGTAAATGTCTGTATATATGTCTATGTATGTGCATGTATAGATGTGTATGTATGTGTTTGTATGACTGCGTGCGTGTATTAAGCGTCGCTGACTCTCCTTGTGTTGGCATGCGTCTGCGTCACGCAAGTGCAGGTGGTGGTTCCCCATCTCACTCAGTGCTATTCAGACTCAATCGATCCGCCGGAGGAGTCGATCCCCCTGTGCACCCTGAGGCACTTCCCGCACACCGTTGAACACACTATTGGTGCGTAGTACTCATCACTGGCTTGCTCGTTCTTCTCTCGACAGCTCTCACGGTTGAGTGTTGAAGCTTCCCCTTCGGCTGCACGTCTCTCCAGCAGCTCTCTGCCGCTCACCCTAAGTGCGCGTTTGACGCGGCATCCCTCTTCGGTTTGCTCCGCAGAATGGAGTCGAGATGCCTTTCAAGGCATCTTCACCGACAAGATCTCAGAAGCCCGTCAGTTTGCCGCTGATCCAACGGCGTTCATCGAGACAGTCCTTTCGGGTGCTTACACACAGCAGTTCGACTTGCAGCCTCCGTCGTAGTTGCTTTCCCCCCCTCCCCCCGCTATGCTACCTTTGCATGCACGAAAGGCGCATCCCTAGAGAGACGCGATCCCGTCAAAACACGTGTGCCTCCCTTGACGTGGTGCAATACCCTCCCCCCGAGAATCGAAGCCAGCGAACAAACCCCCCTGCGGCATGCCATCAAGCCTTGCATTTGAGTGCTGTGCTGTCGCCTGCCCCCCTGGCCACCTCTGCACGGCTTCTGCACCCTGTCTACCTCTTTGCTGCCTCGTATTCATCGTGCCTCGTTTTCCCCGATGTGCGTGTGCACTACTTGCATGTATATATTTACGCAGAAGGCGGACAGAGCCAGCAGCTGCAGCGACTCGAGCAGGTCCTAGAGAGCGTATCCACCTATGGCATCACCTCCATGCCTCCTTCAGCGCCTTCCTTCGCAGACTGCGTAAAGCGATCCGTCCTCCTCTTCAACGAGCTTTTCAGAGTGCAAATTCTGCAGCTTCTCGCCGCCTTCCCGCTTGATCACAGAATCAGCACAGGGGCCCTCTTCTGGTCCGCCCCCAAGAGACCCCCCAAGGCTATCGAGTTCAACCCACAGGACGAACTCCATATTCAGTTCATTGTGGCAGCTGCAAACCTCTTTGCCAATGCCTTCGTATGTTAACACAGCCCACCACGGAGCAGCATCCACTGCTTGCCCCCTCCACGCCTATGCTAGCACATGCACACATATACCCATATTTATATATATACACTTGTCTGCGTATACATATATACATATATAGGCCTCTCTCTATATATGCATGTATGTGCACATACTAGTACATACCTAAATGCCTGGCGCCCTTCTTGAACTACCGAGGCGGCTTCCAATGTGGTCGCCACAGCCGAAAGGAAGGACCAGCTGTCGCCTAGCACTATTACAAGCGCGTAAAGATCTGTGTTTTGTTGCAGCTGTTTTCTGGATAGTTTACTGCGTGTGTGTATATGTATAATATGTATATTATATATATATGCCTTGCTTCAGGGACTGCCTCAAGAAAGGGACGTCGAGAAGGTGAGGGCTTTGGCTGCCGAGGTGCCTATCCCGGAGTTCGAACAAAGGAAGGTGCAAATCGTCTTGGATGACGCTGAGGAGCAGCAGGCGGATACCAGCAGCAGCAGCGGTGCTGGGAATGAGCAGCAGCCCATGCTAGGCACGCTGCAGGCAGAAGTCGATCAGAATTTAGAAGATGAGACCGCAAGACTGTGCGACATCAAGCAGAAGCTGCTGAACATCAGTACGGCGGGCTGCGGCGCTACACGGACGGCTGCATGCTATTCGCACAGGAAGGGGGAAAGGAAGGGGGAGGGGAAGGAAGGAAGGCAGGCAGGATAGAAGAAAGGGGGAATAAGAAGGAAGGAGTTTAGGGAGATAAGAAGGAAGGGGCCGCGTGCGTAACTTGTTTTGCTGCTGTGCGGTATGACGTGTTTGTGCTGGTCTTTTTTCAGAAGGCACTTCGTCGTTGGTGTTTGTTCCTGTTTCCTTCGAGAAGGACGTGGAAGACAACTTCCACGTTGCCTTTGTGCATGCAGCGGCGATGCTGCGAGCTGCCAACTACTCCATCGAGGGCTGCGATAAACACAAGACTAAGCTGATTGCGGGCCGGATCATACCAGCCATCGCAACGACAACCGCGATGATCACTGGCTTAGTGTGCCTAGAGGCCATCAAGGTCTTGTCTCGTGAAGGAAGGAAGCTGGAGGATTACAAGAACGCCTTCATCAACTTGGCGCTCCCCTTGTGGCTGTTCAGCGAGCCCATGCCCCCTCTCAAGAGTGTCGACAAGGCAAATGCAGATTCCCCCTCCCCCCTGTCGTTTCCGCCTTCCTGGCCTAGCCGCAGGCTGAAAGGCTCTCGGCGCGATCGTGCCTCTCCGCGAGACCGTCGCGACGAGCGCAGAACAGACGAGCGCAGCTTCGCACCAGAATCGCAAGCTAAGGAGGCGTGCAAGTGCATGTGTATGCGCGTGTGCATGCGCGTGTGTGTGTATGTGTTGCGCTGCAGGACTATGAGCCCGTCACAGGTGGTCCTGTTCGCGCCAAGCCTCAAGGCTTTACATGCTGGGACAAAATAAAGATAGACTTGCGTAAGGGAGAGCGTGGGTAGCGTGTTCTGTATTACTTCGCGTCAGCTTCCTTGGAGAAGCCAGCCAGAGCTTGCGGGCTTGCGCTTGTTCGCCCAGTGGGGCTTGCTGGGTTGCCTTCATGTGCAACAGCGCACTGCCATACGTGAAGCGCTATTACCATGTGGCTTGCTGCAGAGCGTGCGCGTCGTGTGTTGCGCAGCAAACTGTCGCCTTAAGGATGTGGTGGACTATCTCGAAGAGCAGTTTGATGTGAATGTCGATATTCTCTCGTTTGGCAATTTCTGCCTTTTCAACGGCTTCCTCCCCCAACACAAACAGGGCAGACTCAACAAGCCCCTGACAGAAGTGAGCTGCGCTGACCCTCCTGTCGGCATGCCTCACAAGTCAAGCCATTAGCTAGACGCATTGTCGTCTGCGTGTGTCGGTAGTATATCCTTGCACCCCTACGACTCTGTGCTCCGTGTAGATACGTATGTATGCGCACAAGCAGCCAACCAAACCTTAAAGTCTCCGTCCCACCGAGGCCTGGTAGCATTGTGAGGCCCTCGGCTCCTGTGGGTGCTGCTTTTCACCGTGCTGCCTCTTTGCTGCAGCTGATCGAGGAGATTACGCACAAGCCGCCTCCACAAACCGTCTTGATGGAGTGCAGCTGCCACAGCAAAGAAGACTCGGTTGACATCCTCTTGCCTTCGATCGCCCTCCTGAATGTTGGACAGCCCACAGCTTAGCTGCTCCAGAAGCAGGGAGGCAGCCTTAGCGTGAGCACCACTCATAGCAGCAGTGCCACCATCGGCAGCTGTGCCCGAAGCTGCAGCAGCAGCAGGCCCCACGGCAGCAAGCACTGACAGGCCACACTGAAAAGGCAGCAGGTGGGACCGCACGTGTAGATTCGGTTTGATTGCCGTGATTCAATGAATCAACTTTGTCTCATTGCAATCAAACAGCCTTATGGGAGCCTATGCTGCTCTATAATCGTGTAGTGATGACAACGACACGTGATACAGGGCCATCGCCATTAAGGCCTAAGCAGTTCTTATGCGCGTATTGCAAGTAACGAACAAGTCAGCGCTTACAATCGTGTAGAGCCTTTAGCCCTAGCGCTTAAATTCGCAACTAGACTGGGTTTCTAGGGCCTGCTCAGAGGACGACTGAGGTGGAGAAAAGCCTCGAGCCGGTGAAGCACGCAGCGTTGCAGCCAGTGCGCTCGCTGTACAACAAGTAGCAGCAGCCTCCGAAGCGGTATTCGCAGCAGGGATCTGGTGTGCGCTGATTCTTTCGAGGCGTTTCATCCTTCGCTCTAGCTTATTCGCGGCCCGCCGGCAGGCAGCTAGCGTCTTCTCTTCTAACTGCTGCCTCTTTGCTGCTGCTGCCGAGTCAATGTTGTTGCAAATCACAGTCGATGCTCTGTGGAACGGTCGATGCGCTGCTGGCACCCGCGCTGCACTACCTCCAGCGGCAGTGCCACCAGAAGCCCGCTGATTTCGCTTGAGGGGCTCCCAATTCGACATTGGCGTACTGATTGTGAAGCGCCTGGCTGCTTGGGTGCTCCCACTGTGGGATTTTATGAAAATATTTTCACCTGGCGGTCTGTGGGGGGCCCTCCACGTGTTCTTCCACTCGTCTTTTAGTTGTTGTCCTGCCTTTACCGCTGCTGAACGGGCTAGTCTAGCGGTGGTTTCTCCCTGGTGAAGGAGCTGCTTCTCTTGGCTGCCAGGACGTTTTGCTGCTGCTGCAAGAGGGAAGCTCCTACACCTCGAGGTCTCCAGTGAGCGGCATCTAGAGAAATTTTCAGACTCCCACATAGAAATTCCATTGCGCGGATAGGAGTAAGGGTCTCGCCTGCTAAACAAGGAGGGGTGCTGCGTGCGACTCCGATGGAGGGGCTTTCGCACCGCACTATTAAGTGTACTGCTGCTGCATGGACTTGAGGACAGGGAGAGAGAGGAAGCCTTCCTTTCGGGGGCCCTGCTGCTACTGTTGTCGGTACAGTAATGTTGATCACCAGGGCAGGCACAAGCCTTGCTGCGGTAGTGTGCTGCTGCAGCCGGCGTAGTCCACGAAGCAGCAGCAGCAGGTGCAGCTTGCCCGTGTGAACAGGCATGGCTACTTGCGCATTTCGCAGGAATGAGGCAAAGCTCGTGTGGATTAGGAAGGGCGTCGGGGGGGGAGACTCTCTGTAAGGGGGCAAAGAGGAGAGACATGGGAACCCCCTGGGCAGCTCGTTTGAGCTGCTGTTGCTGCCAGGCAGCGACAGCAGCAGCGAAGCTCAACAGGCCCAACTCTCCATCTGAGTAAAGCACCACTAGCCACCTGCACACACAAAGATATGCATTAGAGGATGACAGGTCTGAGCAAGCAACACTATGAGGGTCTCTATTCTGGTTTAAAGGGGCTGTTTATTCCTTGCGGAGAAGCTTGTCAAGGCTGTCAGTGTTTCTTTAGTCCGAAGTGGGCCTCAACGGAGCCCCGCATGCCTCTAGAGGAAAAAGCATGCAAGGCAACGGGTGGCGCGTATAGAGCTCGAGGAGGTCTCCAAAAGGCTCAGAGCTGTTCCCTTACTGAGCCTTCTTATCTGCTGCCGCATTCAGCACAGCGCGCCCCTCCGGCTGAATCTCGAGCAGCAGGTTGAGGTCCCTGAACCCTAAAACTTGCAGTCTTCCATCTTCAAGCACAAGCCCAAGAGCTGCTGCTTCTTCCTCTTGTTCCTGTTGCTGCGAGAAACAGCACTTGGGGACAGATAAGGAGAAGAGACCAATAACGGGAGACTGCGTTAAGTAGCACGCGAGAAAGCATAAGCGTGGCTTTGCTGCTGCTGCTGCTGCTTTCACTTCTGCTGCTGTTCGGGCCTCCTCAACGCTGCTGCTGCTAAAAGCCTCTTGCATATCCCGCCATCCATCCGAGGGGTCTCCGGGGGGCCCCCAGGGAGATCCATCGGTGTGCATCTCGAATCGGGAGCCTGCCGCCCTGCATTAGCAAACATTGACAAACCCTTAAATCGATCAAGCCTTTCCTGCACGTGAGCGCATAGAGGTTCATATGTACCATTTAGGGCTAAGGGCGCATAAAAAGTATCAAACGCTTAGCACTTGTCCTTCCGCGGAACGCTGGAGGGTTGCAGGCCTTCAGTGAGACCCCGCAAGGCCCGGGGTGTTATGCTCTGGGGATGTGCTAGTGGAGGCGGAAAGGGAGGGGGCGGAAGGCTCTTATGAGCTTGCTGAAGGTCGCCCGGAGGTACAGAGAAGAAGCAGATGATCCCTTTGTGAGTCTGCCGACAGAGGCCCCCTACGAGCAAGAGGCCACCCACTACTAACACACTGCAAGCGCACACAAGTGCAGCCCAGGAGGCAAAACCAGTAATAGAGCAGTCCCGGCAGAAAGTATTTCCCAGAAACATTAGTTGCACAAGGGCGCAGCATCAGGGCATCCACACCAGCCTCAGAAGCACCACACAACTGCCCGTGTGTACTAGGCATATTCCCTTGAAGGGCCCCTGTCGGTGTTCCTCAGTCTTCATGGTGGCCTCAAGTAGCCCGGCATGAGGGTCTGTTATATGTGGAAGCCGTACTGCGAAAAGCTGTAGCAAGACGGGGCAGCAGCAGTTCCACTGTGAAGCACTGAGGCAGCGGCTGCATCTAAACAGCACTCCCTCTTGTATGGCCGGTGTTGGTGCCGCTGCGTTTGTTTTTGAGCAGAGGCCCCCCCAGAAGCCCTGGCAGACCGGTCTATATCCTGTTTCTGTGGCTGCTGCTCTCTCCAAACAGTCAGGACTCCGCCTGCCTGCAACAGCAGCAAGCGTTTTAGCCTCCGAGGCTTATCTGTTCTGTTGAGGGCCCCGACCTTTGAGACATGTAAATCCGTTTGAAAAGGTGTTTGGGGCCGCTGAACACGTACATGGCCATTCGTAAGGAAGCTCTCAGGAGTCCTTCTCGATAAGGTCCCCTCAAAGCTGCTGTAGTCAGCTGAACTGCAGCGACTGGCCTCCCGAAGGGCCCTTGTACCACTGCATGCCTGCCTGTGTCTCGAAGATCTACGAGGAGCCCCAAAGACCCCGTGTTGGGCCCATGTGGCCGGCAATAAGGGACAGCAAGCCCTAAATGGGGGGGAATACTTGGACGTGAAGACTCGGAGGCGGTGGAAAGTGCGGAGACACCAGAGGGCAACGTTATCGGCAGAGAGAGATGCAAAGCTGCATGCAGAAACCTCAATAGGGGGGACAGTTTGGAGGCAAATGAGCTTGTTGGGGCATCGAGCAGAGCAGAAAAGCTGGTGCTGGTTGCTCAGGACATTCACGTATACGACAGTGTAGGTAGGAGTTTTGTGGGTTTGAGGGTTGAAGATTCAGGATTTACGTTCTGCTGCTGAGGGCTTTGATCTGTAAGACCACGCGACTGTGGGTTCGGGTGTCTGTCCAGATTATCTGGCCCCCCAATCGAGAGGCAACGAGCTGATGCCTCACAGCACACAGCACCATATGACAGCTTGCTTTTCTAGCTTTACTTCCGTCACCTGTTGCGTCCAACTGAGGTGGTCCGAGATGCTGCTGTTTGTGCAGCTTTCGGGAAAGGGGCAAGAGGCAGAGGCACGCTATTGGCTCGCCCAAAACACATACGCGTTGAGGCCTACACACATAACCTAAAGCCAAAGTCCTTCTGTATACGTAGATGAAAACTTAGATGGAATTGGACACCTTCTCTTGTCTGTACTACCTTAATAGAGATCGTACCATCAGGGTGCGCCATCAGGGCCCTGTGCTGAGCCACCGTAAAGGCTTTTATGCCTTCTTTAACTCTTACAGATACGCTGGCTATTCCAAGGGCCCGTGATGAAATTTGGAGGCCCCAAGAAGCCCTTTAAGTGGCATACCGTTTCTCAGGGAGGAAAAAGACCACGATCTCCCCGGCTTTTGTTGCTGCTGCTGCAACGCTGCCATCCGAAGCTACTGCCGCAGCTACGTAACGCCGCTTCCTTGTTGACTGTAATGGCGTTGACTCCGGTGCGGCTGTTGCTGGTTCTGTCGCTGCTGCTTCTGCTGCTGAGGGGGTAGCGGAAATGCTGCCGCGCAAGGTGCTTGGTAGGAGTTCGATGCTTGGGCCCCCCCTCGGAGGCTCCTGTGAAAGCTTACTTAGCAGCCTTGAGGCCGCCGAGAGGTCTCCTCCGGCCAGAGTGCGAGAGAAGCTTTGAGATGGCGTCCAACTCGCCGCAGAAGGGTTTCCTGCTGAATTGCTTTTTACTGTGCCCCAGGATGGAGGTGTACCCGAAGGGCGCTTGCTATGTGGGCGCCTCCGCAGCGTCCAACTATACGAAGCAACAGGGCTTGGAGTCTCTCGACGAAGGGAGATGGGCTGTTGCGTTGCTGAACCCAAACCAAACGGAAAGCTAGGGATAATGCGTGAAGTCCCCACACTAGAGGTTAGAGGTGGCTTTCTAAGCGAACGGGAGTTTACGGCTGCAGTTTGTACCCTGAAAACTTTGCGGACAGGAGCAAAGGTATTGACGGTTACCCGTTGAGTAAGATGAGGCTAACAGCTGCTGTTGCTGGTTTAGCTCTTGCAGCTTCTCCAGTAGCGATTGCTGCACTTGCAGCAAATGCCGTTGCTGCTGCTCCTGGGTACTTCCGTTCATTGCATTTCAGCTCTCGCAGGCAATTAAACGGCCCATATATTAAAGCATACGCCACAAATGACTAATGGCGCGCTGTGAATCGTCAGGCTTGACACTTTAGCGTCAAAGTGAATGCTATCCTAATAGCATGCAGATCTGAGAGTCTCGGGGAATGCTATGAAGGCCATTCTCTGGAGTTTCTATAGGGCACAAGAGCGCAAATTTAGCATGTTGGGTGGAAACCAACGCATCGGTTGTATTGGTTCAAGGTCTTGTGTTCCAGAAACAAACGGTTTAGCGTAGCAAAGTTACTCAAGGGCTTAGCGCTTCCAGCTTAGGCTCCAGAGAGTCATTCAGCCTATTCTACTACTCACAACGGGCGAACCGCAGCATCTAGGCATAATACCGAGAGAAATGCAATGTGTATTGAGAGAATTTGCATCTGTTCGCTGGCTCTGTACAGCTTAGGTTCCTGTTGGTGCTGTCCATTCCTGGGGTTCTACCGATGAAACATATTTGCGAGCTCGAACAAAATTGTGCATCCAACTCTTAACTTCTGTGTGTCAGTATAGAGGAAGGTGAATGCTTATTCGAGAGTGGAAGAGGGAGGGCCAGTGAAGCCCTCAAGCTCAAGCCCTCAGTAGTCGCAGCAGTCTCGACCCTGTATAGAGTGTCTGCGTTCTTCACCTTTTGGGGTCATTCTTTATTCCTTTCATTCCTATTTATGCGCTTCAGATAAAACATAGCAGATTTAATGCAGATTAAATTACATGGAAGGAGGAAACCTCAGGTTTACTTAATCGCTGCCAACACCCATCCCTGGAGTGACCACGCTGCGAGACAATAGCACAATTCCACAATATGCAGCAAAAGACCAAAACTAGGAGGGAAAAAATATTTTGGCTAATAACGGCCCTCTATTTCGGGCTTCTATTGACTTTTAAATGCTAGCAGCACATTCCCTTGCAGAGCCCATTCCCCGACGGGGTGAAAGGTTCACAGTGGGCGCATAATTTTTTGGCTAATCTAGATTCTTCCTGCAGTAGAAAAATTGCTCCGTTCCTCCACGCACAGAGCATCAGAATATCCCTCAGGTAGTGTACTAAATAGGGACGCTGAAGCAAACCCCATAACGGCTGGCCGTATGTCTCAAGTCCAAGGCACTTCTACTGTATAAAAGTTAGAAAACCTGAGGTATCCCCCACGTTTCGTAGCTTGTTCATCAGTTGGAGAGAGAGAAAAAGGGAGTCAGATCTTGACTTATTACATTCACGGGTTGTTATAATATGCCAATGAGGGCACAAAACATTACAGGCTGTGCATGGAAATCCTTTAGCTATATATATACATATATATATATATAAGTGTACACAAGGCTTTCCGAATAATGGTGTGGTGAGCCCTGCAAATAGACTCGAACTCGGAAAAACCTGCAGACCGACCGGGGACCTCTGTGGCGCAATAGCGAACGGAGCACATGCTGTTGCCGTCAAAGGCATTGTGGCCCCAAGGCACCTCCTAAAGGAGAAAGGGACAGAGCAGTATACCCATAGAGATGAGAATAAGGAGTTCCCTTATGCGTCCAGTTCTTGAGCAATTTGGGGAGGAACAACAGTCAAAAAACTAGGGTGCAAGCTAGTCACTCTCCCCTCCGCTGTGATTGTTACCCCACTCCTCTGCACAAATCAAATGTGATTCGCCCCTAATTTCTTCGTAGTTTATCGTCAATATACCCAAATCTAGGCATTCTGATTACCTCAGAAGCGTTACATGCGTCGCACATGCTACCGCAACGCAGCTCAGCGGGGGTACCATTTTTCCTGAACTGGGTAACAAGTCACTGCCCTCAATGCCTATAAGGTGTTTACCTGACGTGCAACATAAATTTAAATTCACCGAGAACAATATGTACAAATTACCTATCGAATTGTCCTCATTTTCGATGGGAAACGTTGCCATTCGTATGCCTCGCCCCACCTTCCCCAGATAAAGTACTACTTGAGGGAAGACACGCTGGAGCCTAGTGTTCGAATTCTACAACAACATACACCTAAATCCTAGCATCCATGCAAAAAGGTGACAGCAGAGCTATCGCCACCAAATAAGGCAGCCCCGAAACCCTCAGAAGACGCGGCAGCGAAACAATGGAACTTTGTTTCTCCCCCGCAGTAGGAGTTAGTTCCTGCCGTGCCTGCATCTGGTGTTGCTGACGCTCCACAACAGTCGCAGACACGGAAGAAGCAGAATCGAAGTGCTAAAAAGTGGGTTACCCTGCCCGACAGCCCCGAACCGAAATGCACCAAAAACGTGGGGCGGGGCGACAGTGCATGCAGCTGCAAAGGCGCATGCATGCAAACATACATGTATACGCGCAATGCTGCTAGCAGTGCGGTGTACAAACGGCATGCATGCAGAGACCTGCAAACACTGCATGCAACTTGTGCACACGTGCTTTACGCATACAGCGTATGCTGTATGCATGAACTGTGCTGCAGGCATGCACTTCATGCATACAAATTATCGAGCGCATACAACGAGGGGCCGTGCATGCGAGCAACGAAGCCTGTGTGCAGCGCCGTAATCAATTCAATCCTCCTTCCTCTATCTGCCTCAACAGCTGCAGCTCGACGCCTTGCGCGACAGATCCTGCTGTTGTGGAGTAGCGTTCAGCTGTACATCCACCACTGCAGCAATAACAGGAACAGCAGCAACAACGAAGACAGCGGTGTCAACAACAGCCACAGAAGCTGTGGCTACATGAAGTGATTTAACAAGAGGCAGCAGGATGTGTAACTCAACAAGCATTCAGGGCCTAGGGAGTACTTTGGGCTTCCGATTGGGGCTGCTGCGTCTCGAGTCCAGGAAGGGCAGCCGCCTGTCGCAACAAGAAGACAAAAGCAACAACATTCGATTCACAGCGAGGATCCTCTGTCTTTCAGTGTCTCTCTGCCTGAGGGCAGGGGGCGATTGGGGGATAGCCACTGATGCGAAGATAAGAAGCCAGCGAGGTCGGGGCAAAAGCAAACAAGGGATCTCTTATGCTCACAAGTTTTCGAAATAGACATTTCACATTGTGGCCAGCCTTGGCGCTTGTTTCGATGAACAAAATACCTTGCTGCAACAACACCGCAAACTTCAGACCTAACAAAGAAGGCCTCCCACGCCCTACGGAGTGAAGCGTTCTACTGCAAAAGCTTATAGCAGAAATAAACGATAGAAGGCCCTAACGAGCACCCGTACGAACACCAGCAGCAAATTACCTCACGAGCCTTCTGCTCGCCTTCCTCAATAGACACTTGCCTGCATGCAGCAGACACACACCCTACATCCCGCCATAGGTAAACTCCAACCCGCGACACATCGAATCTTACACCCCCCGCCACATCAAATCAGGCAAATACCAGCGTGTGACTCTTCTCAGCCTACACCTCCAGCTCGGGACCCTAAAGGCAAAGAAGCTCAGCATCCGAAATCTCCGTACCGGCGGTCACATAGATCAGTCTTGTTGCCCACTAAGGCCATGACGACATCCTTGCCGCGCTCTGCAGACACAATTTCCTCATGGTTCAAGCCCAAACCTTCACAATTCTTTACCCAGCTACAGCGAAATCTGCGTTCTCAAGCGCTGCCCAGTATGGTTGGTTACCGCTAAAACCTTCGGCGCAAACCTTAGGAAGCAAAGTGCCACCACCCTCACCAGCCCGTACGTCGTCTATCCACTTGGTGGTGTTTATAAAAGAGGCGCGGTCTGCACACATACGACATCCCAAGCCACCTTGCTTGAGCGTGCCGGCCACCCTGCTGCCTTCGACCGAGCTATGTATTCGCTTCTCTAAGCCCGTCACTCCCACCTAGCCGCCATCTCACTGGAGATGTCATATACAATAACAGCAGCGCTGCTGTCTCTGATGTACGACGGAATCAGCGAACGAAACCTCTCCTGGCCTGCTGTATCCCACAACTGCAGCCGCACTGTCCGTTCCTCCAAGTAGAGCGTCTTTGACAGAAAGTCGATGCCGATCGTGGCCTACAAAGCCCCACACAATAAGCCCGCATCCACACACCAACCACCGAGTAACTGCAATCCCACAGCCATACAAGCACTAATTTCAGACTGCAAATCTTGGAGCAGCACGCACGCGGGGGCCACAGGGACTGTGTGAAGCCAACCAAACAATAAAGACCCCACACACACTGAGAAAGGCGCGATCCGGAGTCAACACCGCACAGGCTACCAAGCTCTCTACTTTGCTGTTTTGCTTGCCTGGTAGTTGTTTTCAAAAGTGTCGTACATGAAACGCGTGATGATGGAGGTCTTGCCAACAGCCTGCTCCCCCAAAAAAACCAGCTTATACTTATTCAACCCTGAGCCAAAGAGCAAGCAAAGACTCGAAGAAGACCTCATATCTACAAGAGTGCCAAACAATCATTCTATGAGTCCAGGCCCCACCGGTTTGAGCCCTTAGGGACGGGGCATGCAATGGTCCACCAGCAGACGAAACAAAACAGCCAAAAGGCCTTTCTCGCGACTTGCGGTTGAGCCTCTTACCTGCGGCGTCCGCCATGGTGCTAGGGGGAAAACAGAGACCCCAAAGCCAACGCCACAGCACAAGAGGTTCACTCTCACTGCTGCTGCTGTTCCTACGGTGGCTGTTGCTGCTCTTGTAGCTATTTACCCAGGACGGTGAGCCAAAAAGGGCCCCGCATGTCTCTGCTACACTTGATACTGACGATGCAGCTGGTCCTGCTGCTGTTTCCGGTGTTTTCGCCCAGTGAGAAAATGCGCGGCAGTGTCGGTATGTGAATTTCCTCGCTTCCGCCGTTATTATGACGCGACTGTTGCTGCTACTGCTGCTGCTGCTGCCGCTCGCACCAAAGGCACACAAGAGTTTTCAGTGGACCACCTGGGTTGCTAAAGACAGCTATGAACCAATGTAATAGTTTCTTGAGGGCTACAGTTACCGCTTCGGCTGCCACCGCTGCCCCAGCGCTTGTGCTGCATGCGCGTGAGTGAGACGGAAATAGGTGGTTGCAACAACAAACACAGACTTCTGCCCCTGTTTCTGATTAGACAAACAGTTTGCGCGGAGAAGAAAGAGATCCTGAGCCTGTCCGTGCGCTGCTGCTGCCGCCGCTGCTGCTGACTGTGCTGCTCTAGCTGCAGCTTCTCCTAGCAGTGCTGCTATCTAAGCTCGCGTCGAGAAATTCAACACCAACGAAAAGACCCCAAATAGCGTGAAAGAAGAAGAGGAAGGGCAGCATGTGCTCAGCTGCTGCCGCCGCCGCTGGCCATCGTCGCAGGCAGCAACAGCTGCTGCAGCTACTGCATGGCCACGGACCCGTCGCAGCAGCAAAAGCCGCTCCAGCCGCTGCTGCTGCAGGAAACTTAACACATCCGGGAAAAGGCCTGAATTTATGCAGTCAAGAGGCTTATGACTCGGTGGCCTGTATTCCTGAGTGGATAGTTTAGCTCTCCCACTAACAGGTACAGCCGCTGCGCGACAGCTCACCATTCTGTCCAATTTCGCCGCAGGCAATTTCCACCCAGCTATTCATACCACACCTTGCAGTAACCAAGTATTAACTGTGTTATCTACCTACTCGTGTACCCTATGTGATGTTGAGTAGGATTATAGCCAAATTTTTTAAACGTCGAACGGAGTTCGCTGCGCGTAGTTTGTATGTGTGAGGCTCCGTCAAAGTTCACAGGAAAAATCCTAGATCCAGACTTAACAAAAATTGTCGCTCCGGTATATTCAGCTTTTTAAAAGGAATTTCGACCTTTCTCTGCCCGCACGCACCGAGGTTTTTTACATGACGGAGACCGTTGGGGTGCACGTTGCTGTACCCCCTGGCCACTCGAGGCATATACAGCTAGTTGCATATAGCATCTTCCGTAGACACACACAGCACTAAGTGTTCCTGCATCAAGCTAACTGACCCATGCAATAAGTAAGTATACGAAGAGGCAACCCAACTAGCATGGTATTTACTTGTTCCACATTAGATATCACAGTGTAGAGAAAAGGCTTCAAGTGTGGCAAATTTAGACGAGTCTGCTACATCTTCCTCCTACGCATTGTAAAAGGCGCGCTCTCGTGTTAATTAGCTTACCTTCAGACCAAACGCTAGGAGTATGGCGAAAGAGTTTCCGCCCTATCGTCGTTCTTCAGGCAGAGAAGCGCTAAAACGGTGCACACGAGAAGAGCGAAGCATGCGTCCCCTGCATACTTAAAAATGACAGGAAGAAAGTCACACACACTACTCGACAAGAAACGAAAGGCCCAACCAACGCGACCGCGGTGGGGTAAGCGGGCAGGGGAGTCGGAGCGCTGAAATGTTTGGGCCTTCTACTACGAAATAACAGGAAACAAGGTGAAATTGTAGAGGGAATCAAACACAGCCTACTTCAGTAGTACTCCCGCACCTCAGAGAGCAATCTATGCATGCCAACAGGGCCAGTCCAGGCAGCAAAGTCGACTTTAAAACCCCAGAGAAGGCAGCTGGAAGAGTGTACGCACAACGTACCTGCGAGTCCCTGCAGATAAAGTTGGGTGTACACAGAATGTATAGAATACCTTGATCATCAACATGAATTCGTTTATCAATGCCCGTTCGCCTGACAACATCTATAGATAAAGGTAGGTATTTCAGGCAGAGCATGCCTAGGGAAAGGACAAATAACAAGTCCGGTGAGAAGTACCATCCATGGCCACTAGCCTGGTGAAGAAAATAGAGACGCGATTTCTTCTGCAGGCAAGCAGACTCACGCATACTCTTCCGCCAACGTATAAGGCAGCTGTCGTTGAGCTCATGGTGTGAAAAATTCCCTTTCAGTATGTCCTCAGCGTTCAATAATACTAAAATCCAGCATGTTTTTCTCCCTCGGTAGATCGTTCGCCTCCATAAAGATCACTTGCCTGTGCAGCAAAGTCCACGAACAATTCAAAGGAACTTAAGGATTAAATTTAATAGTCCTATGGAATTTCTGAATTCTAGGGAATCGACGAAGCATCACGGATTCTCGACGAAAGGGCAAATGGTCCTACCCAACTGGCCGCAAACGTTCCCGTTTGGTCTTCTTCTGATGCACATTGTAAAACGTGCCGATTCACCTGCTCCAAACGTCCAAGTTCGAAACACATACAAAATCAGTTTATAGTGATTCTGTGCTTGTGCATATTGAGCTTTGCACATACATCCTTTTGAACTAAACTAACCAGTTGTTCCCTGATGACCTCCATTGCTCAGAGATCGGACCACTAGATTCCGGCCCCAATCGCATTAAGGCTTTCCAGCGTAGGTCAGATATGCGGGCCACTGACAGATAGACGGATGTGCTGCTGTATTTTGAATATACTCTGCACACGGATGAAAACCAAGCCAAGTCAGTGGTTGTTGCAAGCAATCAGTCACGAATACTCTAGGAATGTGCGGGTCGTACTCCCTTTTGTCTATCTGCCACAGGGTTGTTCTGGGTCGTCAGGATATGGTCAGTATAGAGGCATGGCATAAAGCAATGCCAGAAAGCGCCTAGCGAGCCCCGGATCCCTAGGCGCACTGATACACCTCGTGGAGGCTTCTAGACATAAATTGAGAATACCTGCGCGGCTTCCGAAGCCATGACAGACCTGGAGGAAGGCGAAAATGTGACATCATTTTCTGAGTCTGTTGACAAATACGGAAGTGCTATCTGACCCACGGTTTCTGACAGTCCAACACGTAAATCCACAATGACACCAACCAAATCCTTCGGGGGACCGGAAGGCTTTTCAAAAGGCCAGGTATAGAATAATTGCGCGGGTCGGTGTGTTGACGATTCGGGCATCGCAATGCAAAACCTTCTGCTGCAAGACGCATCTCATACCATCAGGAGAACAATAAAAATGTTTTCAGTGTAGTATGAATCTCATGATGGTGGAAAGCAACATTATCATGTGCTTCGCTCGGAACAGCACTGCACGGCAAAGTCGGAAGCTGCACACGGCGAGTGCCTGCTTTGTTTTTAAGCACAATAAAAAGCCCCCAAGGCGGCACTGCTTTGCTCTCGTGTGTAGTGGATGTTTGCCTCAATAGGATACATGGATGCCAAACACTCAAGGCGCACACCATTATAATAGGAACCGCTAAATTGCCACAGCCAAGAGCGGTTGCGCTCCACAACGGTCAATTTCTGAAGCGTTACAAGAGCGCGTCGACGACAATGGTGGTAGTGCTCTTCATGTACTTCACTTCGAAATCGTACTGCAGGAAACACCCGAGCCATCGAACATTTCCAAGATTATCGAAAGTCTGTCAACTTGTCAAACGGTGTGTTATAGATTGATGATCTGTCTATACGATAAGGCGACTCCCCCGCAAGTAGTGTCGGCATCTTTCCACTCCCTGTCACAGCTCCTAAAGTTCCTTTCCCCACTGGATACCGTTGCCCCATGCCGCTGAAGCAATGAGCATTACAAGCAGTCGTCTGGTGCTCTGAAGACCTCTTGGCCCGTTGGAAGACTGTTGAGCCCACCGCTGTCACTAGCACTGTTTAATACGAAGAACAGATGCTCATTATCTGGGAGGGCAAGTTACTCGAGGAGTTGGAAGACGGCTGATAAGCATCCTGGATGCCTCCGCCCAGGTCACACTGCATTTGCTTACGTAGATTTAATTAAGATGTGCCGATGCTAGCAAACTTCAGCAGTGAACTTTCGGTAAAAAGAGGCAAGTCCAAGAATTTAGCTACTACCTTGCTGGTGCGCAATGGTAAAGGCCACGCCTTAATCGCTACGACTTTTGCTGAATCTGGCTCAATTCTTGCAGTCTAAGCCATACTTCCTACAAGCACAACTGCTTATCATAAACATCGAGCATTTGCATGCCTTCATATACCACCGCTTGTCCTGCACCAGCTTATAGGCCACATCGTATATAGGTGTGCATTATGTGCTCTTGGACGTTTTGGCTTAATACAAAGACATAACTTTTGCAGATAGCTATCCACATCCTCTAAAAAGGCGAACATATCTCTCGATTACCTTGCGGCTGCAGTGCGCCTTTGGAATCAACAAGTCGAAACACTACACCGTCATCCTCGCGTTTGCGCACGTCGAGTGTGGAACACCACGCTATGCCTGTTATCAGGATGAATGGGATTTTTATAAGGCGCCCCTAGAGTCAAATGTGATGTAGACTAACACTCCATGTAGTTTGTCAAGGTATTCTCCAATGACTTACACCGGGAATTTCTGCATTATATGGATCTGGTTCAGGGGACTTAAGATGACGCGTATGCGCTAGCCAAATTTCTTCAGGACCAACACCGAGTTATACCCCAAAGCGCGGCTCTATTCAGGACTGCCGAAGATCATGGGTCAGATAGCATTTGAGTAGCTGTCGACAGACCCAGGAAAAGATACCTCATTTTCGCCTTTCTCCGGGTCTGTCCTGGCTCAGGAAGCCACCCAGGTACTCTCAAACTAGAAGTGGAAGCACACCTGTCTAGCATCATTGTATTTGGAGCAACGAAACTCGCTAGTGCATTCTGGCATGGTTTACTGCCCTGCATATAAATTGACCCTCTTAGACCACCTCGAACGACTCCGTGGTAGCCGGATAAAAGAATGTAACTTCCGCACGCTCCAAGAGTATTTGCGACTCATTGCTCACAACCACTGGCTGGGCTTGATCTACTTCCTTGTGCAGAGTAGATTCAAAATACAGCAGCACATCCGTTTATCCGTCACTTGCCCGCATATCTGGTCTACACTGGCGAGCTCCAATGTGATCCGGGCCGAAACTTGGTGGTCCGAAGTCAGCACCTTCCTCAGTGATGGTGGTCATCAGGGAACAGCTGGCTGGCGCAGTGCAAAAGGATATATGTGAAGAGCTCAATATGTGCAAGCATGGAATCACTATAAGCCAATTTTTGTGTGTGTTTCGAGCTTGGACGTCTGGTGCAGGTGGATCGGCACGTTTTACAATGTGCAACAAAAGAAGACGAAACGAAGACGTTCGCGGCCAGTTGGGTAGGACCATTTGCCCTTCCCTTATGAATCAGTGTTGCTTCATCAATTTCCTAGAAATTAGAGGTGCCATAAAGCCATCACTGCTAACTTTTAAAAGAGGCTTATAAACTCTCCGAACCATTCGTAAACTATGCTGCTCAGGCAGTTGCTACGCATGGGGGCGGACGATCTGTGGCGAGCGGTGGAACTGTAGTATTTTAGTACTATTCAGCGCCCACGGCACACTGATGAGAGTGTCTAATGGATGGGCTGGTGGATGCCTAGCTTAGTGGTTGGCGGAAGACTATTTTGGGGCGCACTTGCTTGCGAAAGAAATCGTGGCTCTCTTTTGTTTACAATTCTAGTGGTCCTCGACAGTACTTCTCATAATTCTTGGCACTCGTCCTTTCCCAACGCGCGCTTCGCGCTCTATCTGATATGCCTACATTCATTCGTGGGTATTGATCACAAATTCCTGAACACAATTGGTGACATGTGCCTTAAACTCAGATTTATGGGCA